TCTCTCTCTCTCTCTCTCTCTCTCTCTCTGCTTATCGTTCTTTTTCTCTTACTCTCTCGATGGTACATGCAAATACGAATGAGACGATGGTGTTAACCGATTACCACGCGCGAGATGCTCATGAATATTCCTTATCCGAATCCTCGAAATTCAACAAGAGTGAGGCTTTGGTCTTTGCGAACATACGAGGTAACATGCATAGGACAGAATGTGATGACGATGTTAGATAAAGATAGATTCACGGAGATATAGAGGTAAGGCAAAACGTAAAAATTTTAAATACAAATAGAAAAGTAAGGGAGAAAGAGAAAGGCTGAAGAAGACTAGATAGGGGCAGCTACATTCATCTCTCAAAGACTTCCTGATTTCCCGTCCTGATTCAATGAAGCGTAAAACTGTTGTTCCTTTAACTTTTCCGTTAATATAAAAAGAATTCAGATTTTTCCGCATTATGTTTCTTTTTCTAGATTTTCACTCTTATAGATAAAAATCGAACGGAAGCTTCATTTTGGTTTCATTTTCCTTAGTGTGCATGTAGATTAACGTTATATCTTTGTGTTAAAGTTTTACTTTCAGTGTTTTCCGTAAAACTTTGAAACACTGATTTTATCCTTATGTAACTTATGGAAAGTTTAGAGATTTAATGAAAAATGAGAATCTCTAAATAAGTTTTGGCATTTCTTAAGTAATCTTATAGTTAATCGACTTAAAGATATTTACATTGGTATAGTGTCGTTGCTATTAATAAATTACTTGATAATTAATTTGTCTTAAAATTTTTATTGATTATATTTATCCAAATGGCAATGAAAGACACTGCTTAATGAAGTGAAAAGTTATTAGCCAACAGTCAAACTAGACGCTGCGGTCCATTAATTATAAGCACGCAGACATAACTTCAAAGATCTTCTCCTTAAAAATATAATTAAAAATGGTAGAAAATTAATTGTACGTAAACTTACAACAATACTTTTTTCAATAAAGAGATATTGATTTGGAGTGGAACCAAAGGCTGACGTTACAGGTATAGCAATGTAAATTCACTTAAATATTATTGTATACGTGAAAATGATACTGCTGCCTTTAGTAGTTGGCCATTGTTGCAAAGTACGGATCCTTCTAAGCGTCCAGGGAGTAGCAGCCGGTCTGCGTTATCATCCTTTGTTCGAAATGTTCATTAAAACGCTGTAAGCGGCTTTACCTTAGATTCCGGATTACGATGAAGTCGATACCGCTTACCCATGGCAACGCTAAATACATACATTTCCCTCCGGATGTTACTACTGATAGTATTGCACTTCCTGACACAATCCCCCCCCCCCCCCCCCCCCCCCCCCCCCCCCCCCCCCCCCCCCCCCCCCCCCCCCCCCCCCCCCCCCCCCCCCCCACCCCCCCGCCCCGCTCCACCCCCCCCGCCCCGCCCATCCCCCACCGCGCTTTTTTCCCTCTTCTTTTACGCATTCTATTATATGGATAAGAAAATATAATTTATTTCTTTGTGATACTATTGAGTTAAAGAGGTTTATATATTTGAAGTAAAACGACAAAAGAGAGCATATATTATTAAAATAATTATTTTTTCCATTTCAATTTTTTGCAAATTAAACATTTACCAATTAAATTTTATTAATAAATTATTATTAATCTCTTGGCATTATTCGTTTTGCTTGCTTTTAGTTATTAGAAAACTATTCTACTTTCATGAAAGGCTATTATAGGTCTAAGAATGTTTTATGATTAATCGTGTATTAAACTTTCCCTAAATTGAATTGATAAATTAAAAAGAAAAGATGACAGACAGATAATAAACGGACAAATAGAAATAAAGAGATGAAAATTTGGAGGGAAGGAAGGAGGGAGTCGAGAGAGAGAGAGAGAGAGAGAGAGAGAGAGAGCAATAAAGAAAGAAAATGCGACGAGAGGCTCTACATAGCGACATAAAGCAAGCTTGACATTCTCCAGAGGGTACTTGAGAATGAATTGTCTTTATAGGTGAGAAACGAGATTATAAGACGCTTTATTCATCAACAATCGTTCTTCCAACATACTTTTACGCATAAAACAAAATTTTTTACAGCTTTTTTATTTTATAGTTTATTGTGATTAATTAAGCGTTTTTATTATACGAGTGAATGTTTTAATTTACAGTACGCGTACGTGCATTGGCGCGCACACGCACGTGCACACATAATAATTTCTTCAAACAAAATGTCCACAATTTCTTTTTTTACTAGAGAGTAATAATAAACAGCATTTCTGGTTTATAATAATAATAATTATTATAATTAATCAAAAAAGCTTTTACCGTATTACTAATATTCAGTACAAGATATTAGTTTTTGGCACACATTTATAATTGTTTGATTTTACTTGAAAATTCATTGAGTAATAAAGAATAGAAAAATATCTAATTATTTTGTAAGATAATAAATTTATTTCGAATTTGTGATAATATAAATAAGTATATGGTATTAAAAAGTAAAAAGAGCATGGCCAATTAGTTATTTAGAGGTATGAATAGATAACGTTAAGAATTAATTAAAATGGACAGCATCGAGATTGCAAACAATTCTGAAAATTAGATTCTTATACGCAAAAAGTACAACATGCGGATTGGATTTGTGTTGTCTTTTTAGAATGAATAGCTTTTTGAGAGTGTGATTGTTGCCCACTTGAAAGCATTTTCGTATCTCTCTCCGTCTCATGCTGCGACAATTTCTTTTCGTACTTATCTGTTAAAGCCATCTATTTCCGTTACTCTCATTGGAATCCTCCTCTGTACGCCGCCTCTTACGCGCTTTCGCTTTTCCTCGTTCTCTTTTACTATTGCCTACTCCCTTCACTTCGCTTTTACTTTTCATTTGTTTTTTCTTGGTGCTTCGTGCTTTTCAGACTCTCCAGATAAGGACAATAGCTGCCAAGTGGCATCTTTTCTCTGTTTTCTCGGTCGCCGGTTCAACTCACTGTCATTACCACCGTTTCTGTATTCAAGCAGTAGAAAAGTGCTTCATGCAACTTTCTCGTTGGCTTTTCTCTTAAACGAACTTCTCACTGTCACTTTTATTAAGCCGATACTTTTTTCCAAACTAATAAATGTCCGTTTCTGTTTTATTAATTACTTAAAAGACATTCCTTCGTATAAACTTAATTAGTTTTATAAATTATGGTCGTTTAATGTACCTTATACATAGACTAATTCATCAATGCTAAATACATTTTACAAATTATAACGTTACATTTGAAATGTTGTATTTTATTTTTTTTAATTGACATTCATACTTTATCAAATGTACATGGGATTTGTATATGAGTAATTAATGTAGCCATGAGAGCTTTATTTTCAATAGATTTTGGTTTTGAATTTATTTGAAAATAAACTAATAAAACACTCTTACGTCAAACGTAATATTAATGACTAGTAGAAGACAAATGTATTTAAAGTCAAAAGTATT